TCTTTACTTGTATGTGTCTAGAGCTTACAACTTCCTTTCTAATAAGCCATTGTCTTCCAGGCCAACTTGGTATGTCAGCAGCTTTTTGATAAATACGTGCTCTTTCCTTTCCCTAGCTCTGTCTGGGGTTTTCTTTCTCTCTTTTTGGCTGCTGCACTGGAGGGGAATGTGATTATGGGGACTCCCAAGAATATATAGAGGGGCCATATGGAGTTTCACTGAAGCTGTTAGCTCAGTAACTAGGGCTGTCATCTGATTTTAAAAAATCGTAATTTAATCAAATTATTTTAATCAATTTAAATCTGCATAAATTTGCATTAAGCTGTCTCAAGTAGGAAGGAAATAATGTTTTTAGATTGTGCATATATATTCCATAGTTCATGCCATCCTAAGAGAGGCATTCCCTCCTCGGTGAGATGGAATGAGGAATGCCTCTTCTAAGATGGTGCCTGCCATTCACAGCTTTAATTAGTATTAGTTAAATTCATAAACTTTTTTAAAAGTTGTCACCCAGTTTTATTAGGGATGCCTTTTAAGTCTGTTTTGTTTGATTAATTAATTCTAACCAATTAATCAGTTAAAGGTTGCAACCCTGTTCTTTCTTCCTCTCATTGAATACTATCAGTTTGCTCTGCAAGGTCAGAATTTGCCTGGAATCTTAACTTTCTGCCATTTTTTGGTGTACTGGGGTGTGTGTCCATCATTGGAAAGTTGCCAAGTATGACAGGTACATTTTCAGCACTTTTCACTTTACAGTATATATAAGAAGGGCCCAATTTGAAGCAAAATCAAGCTAATAAATATCCCCATGCATGGTTGCTTGTGGAAAGTAAAGGTTGGCTCCAGACATTCAGGAAAACATCTGTAAAAAGTCTTATGCCCCCGCCATTGAGACCATTGAAATGCTCCTAGTGGGAACTATATAATACATGTTTCCTTCCTTCTTATTTTCCTGGACTGGTAAACTTTGTAGACTTAATTGCAAGTTTGGTTTAACTGGAATTTGTTGAAAACAACATGCATGTCTTCTCTATATAATGTTATGTGCATTTTGAACTGGAGTATCAGAGTTGTGCCGTGGAGTAGATGTGGAGCCAGAAGGCCAGGCCAAGTCATCCAGGAAAGGCTTTTATTATCCAGACAAGTTCTAGCCTAAACAGGAAGTCTTTAGAATCCTTGCTGTTGAGGAGAGCCAATGGATACTTGGAATGTTAGGAGTCCAATCCATTCTTGGGGATTTGTCAGTGCCCAGTGTCCATATTATAGCCTTGGAGGCTCATTACACCACAGAGCCATGGATTCTAGGCCTTGCCATTGCTGAGATTGGGCATGCCTGCCAATTGGACATAGAGAGTGGGGCTTCAGATCTTTGCGTACCCAGATCACGGCTGCCCTCTTGGTTTTCTTGCAGTCTGTTTCCTGTGCTGACAGGAGAACCAATCTACAAATTGCCATTCTTTTTAGATCTAAATCAGATTACATTTCTAATATTATGATAAAAGCAAAATGCATGGGTAGGTTCAAGAAAAACAGAAGAAATCTTTGGACCTGTTGATGCAGGCAATAATCCTGGGACAGCAACCTTTTGGCCCATCACTGGGTTTTTGGAGCCAAGGACAAAGGGCAGTGTGGTTTCATCCCAGAAAGTTGAAGGTGGTGAATCAGAACCAGCGTTGCTAGTGGTATGCACCTCACCCAGCTATTGCAAATAAGCTTACAAAAGTTTAGGAACAACAACAACAACGTTTGCTATCTGGTTCCCTGCTGGTAGGCCAGGCTAAGAGAAACGTTGCCTTCTAGCATGCAGATTGGCATTGGAGAGTTGAAGTGAGTTTAAGTTTAAGTGAATCCTCCTTCCCCCATGATCCAACTTTGTATTCCTTCCTCTGTGGCTAGTAGTATGGACAACCAAGTAGGCTGGTGGAGGAGGAATGGAGACATCTGTCCCTCCTCCACCATCACATGCAGTGCCTTACATTCATAGGTGATGGAAGCACGTTGAACCTTTTTTTTTTTTGGAGGTGGGTCAGAGCTCACCCAGACCTCCATGCTCCGGTTCCTTGCAAATTTGTCAGGGTGTGACTGTGGTATGACTTGTTGTCCCTCACCTGAAAGCTCTTGCGTTCAGGACCGAGGTGCTGGGGTTACCGCGTGCGTGTATTCTCCTTGTCCTGTAAACCCTTTTCTGACTCCTGAAGTGAAGAGCATCCTCAGCTCAGCTAGGGAAAGTTTGTGAGCTTCTGTCACAGCTAATGTCTTCTAGCAGCACTATTTGCAGCCAAGGCGTAATTTTCCCCTTGTTGCTTCTCCTCTTGAATGCCTCCCACTCTGAGCTGCCTAAGCCACACACAACACGATCTCACTAAAATTAGTTTTTAATTGATCCTCAGAGTAACAGAATGCTCCCGCGTGCAGCGCAAGTCACAACACATTTGCTGCTGTGGCCAAAAGGCACTCCAAGTTGTTTTGGACACCTGTTAAGATTTTTTAATGCAAATCTTTGTGATCTCGGGTGAAGTCTTTATTGTTCTTTCCAACCTGCTCTATTCTTTCCCTCCTGCCTCGCCAAGCTTGGAAGCTCTTTGTGGTCTGTGCACAGTCATGCGTGTGGCTTCTGCAGAGCGGCATTTTGGAAACGGCGGAGGCTTCAAAGAGCCATGCAGCAGCCCCCTGTCCTCAGCCTGGGTGCCTTGAGGGCCCTCCCCTTGGTTCTCTTTTCACCACTGTCTGAACAACATGATGAGGAACTGTCTTTAGAAGTTTTTCCTCTCCTCACAAATATTCTTTGGAAAATAATTTACCTCAGTTTTAATCCATTTTCATCCCCTGTATGTAGACCCTTCCGCATTCAAAAGGGCGAGAGAGTGTTGGGATTAGAGAGTTGTATCCAACTATATTCTACTTTGAATAGGCCCAAGTTAGTCATGTCCATTAATTTCAGTGGGTTTAAGCTGAGTAGGACCAACACTGGAGACAACTTGGAGAGTTTCCCCTCAAAATTTATGTTTTACCTTAGCTTTATGGACCTTATCCATTGTGTCAGTAGCTATACAGGCTCCCCACCCCCACCCCAGTGTTAGAAACTGAGATATGAAAGCTAGGAGCTAAATGGCACCTTAAACCTAGGTTATGGATGCAACAACGGAATGCCTAGGTGCACTTTTTATAGCAATAATACAAAGCTGAAAATGAATGAACTGCAGCTAAAATATTACGTTCATTTTTCACATGCTCTAGTCCTTCCCCTTCTCAACTACCTAGTATTCTTAAGAGGGTCTCTTCTCCAGACTACAGAGAGTAGCTGGAAGTGGGGAGGCCCAAAAAGGTCCTCCTTTCCTTCCACTCTGCAGTTTTAATCTGAAATCTTAGGCGCAGTACTGTGCCCAGAGCTCGGAAACTGCTCGTGCTGATGAAATTCCCTGTCGCAAAATGTGCCTAGAACAATGGGAGTTTCGAACACTGTATATCCCTCTTGTGGTTTTCAAGAGCTGCTAAAAGTACCGTATGTCTGCCCACCCATGTCCATCTTACAGGCAGTGCTCTGGGTCCCTTCTGTTGGTTAGCATTTGTGCAGCACTTTGAATATACTGACTACTTTTGACAAGGCTTTCTGCTGTTTTTGGATGTCTGAGTATAAAACATGTGCAACAGGGAGAACGATCCTAATTGCTAGGATCTCTCTCTTCCCCCCTGCCCCGGGGCAATGTGGAATATTCATTATTGTACCTGTCAGTGCATTTTACGACCTCGTTCGCTCTTCATTCTACTACATGTATAATAGACCAGCCCATTGTCAGAACTAGTAAGGTGTAGCAGTCAAGAGTACTGATACGGACTGAGTTCAAATTCTTGCTCAGCCAAGAAGCTCACTGGCCATCTGCTAATGTGCTTCATAGTTGTTGTTGTAGTAATAAAAAAAAGTGGGCACTCATGCTGATAATTCCCAGGCTGTGCGCTGGAGCACACCAATGTGACATGAGAGGGTTTGAAATACATGTTGAAAAATTAAACCCTTGATCCTGTATGGAGCAAACTGTAGTCAAGTCCAGATGTTCTGGGACTGCAGCTCCCATCACCCCTGACTATTGACAATCCTGTCCCAGCAACATCTGAAGGGCCACAGGCCCCCATCCCTACCATATCAGATGCGCCTTTTTTGAGCAGGGAAGCCTGTGTAGCACTGCTCTTTTCATTCCTTCAGAGTCATACCTGTACTACAGCCGACATTTCTAAGAGATTCTTAGAAGGAGATGCTGGGAGACAGAGTGAATGGTTATATCCAGCATTCTTTTTTTTCTTTTTTTTTAAAGTAGACCTGGCTGTTATTACTCTGGGAGTGGATTTGAGAAACTGTGAATCTGTAGTTTAATAATTGTCATGGGCTGCCGCTGGGACCTTTTAGGCCAAAAGATGGGATTTAAATGTTTTAAATTCAAAAATATATTTATCAAGAGAGGTGTTCCTTCAGGTTTTAATCCGAGGGGGGGGGACCTGTTGATGAGGCACCCATCCTGAGCAACTTGGGGAGCAGTTGGTACACAAGTGTTGATTTGTTTTTAAATTATGGAAATTGTTGGAGGAGGCCAGTGTGTTTGTGTGGTGGGGAGGGGGACTTCTTTTGAGGCAGCAGCCAGGCTACAGAAACTGTTTGAAACTTGGCTGCAACTTATTTTTGGTTTTGGTTTTTATATGGAGGTGAGGTAGTGGGGGTGAGGGAGCTTTCTCAAAATGAAAATGCTTATTAAAAGAAAATACCCAGTGGGCACTGGGGTTGGTGGCTGCCTAAACCCAACCATCAAAGCAGTCTTAACCAAACAGCAGTACTTCATATAATTGAATTGAACGTACATTCCTTTTCATGGGGAAAGAGATTTACCCTTAACTGGATTAAAGGGATAGCATCTGAAAGCTATGTCTGTGACATGCATTGTATTTTTGTTTTTCTTTAATAATCTGGGGTAATGCTGTTTTTTTTCTTTTTCTTTTCTAATTTCTTACAGATGGTCACGAGAACAAAGAAAATATTTGTAGGTGGATTATCAGCTAATACAGTAGTGGAAGATGTAAAGCAATACTTCGAACAGTTTGGCAAGGTAAGTTCCAGCATGAGTCAACATAATTTACAATCTGAATTTATTTGTGAGAAACATGAAGGTTTTCTCTAATGATGGTCAGTTTTGTGTTAGCAGTGACGCAAGTCAACAAGTGCTGCTTTTAGTATGTTGCCAAAGAGCCTCATGCTGTTGGAGAAGTGGTGATCTTTGCGTATTTCTGCAAGCCATCAAACTAGCATGCTGTTCAGCACTACAGTGAGTCCACATCAGGCACGATGATGTACTCTTTTATCTTGCGTAATGTAAGATGTGGAGGATAGGTTTTTGGTTTTTTTCACAGTAAAGTGTGTGCGTGTAAAACAGTGAGTGAATGAATGAATTTGTTTTAAACTGTTCAGTTTAAAATGAATTCATTTTAATCTGCTTTCATTTTGAACTGTTCAGAGAAGGGCTGTGGCGTGTCACTGTCATAGCACACATGTTGGAGAAGCTTTTGTGAGATGACTGCAGAACTGCAGAGTTTGTTTCCTTTTTCTGTAGGGGTGGAGGAGCAGTAGACATCTAGTCTAATATATGTCCCCATGACAGTCAGTAGAGCTCTTTTTGTGAAAAGGCTATATCCTCCCCCCCCCAAAAAAAAAATATGGCTAGTCTGGTTTCTTCTGCAGGCTTTAAACGAGTGGACCATAAGAGTTGACTGGGTAGCAGGTCACATCTGTGGGCAGGACGGCATGTATAGGATGCGCTGCCAAAGAAAAACTCTCACTCCTCTCTGCTCTCCTTTTCCATAACTTGTATTCCATATATTGATGTCACTATGGCATGCTTTTCTTTGTTCTTAAAAGTGGAGGCAATGATGTGGATTGGAGGCAGAGAAGTGGATAGCATGATGGCACTTGCATATGGGGAAGTTCTGAACTAAATAGTAGAGTGGAGAACTTGACACGGGGATGCTAGTTTGGGGGCCAGGCTTGTGAACCGGATAATTTATAGCTGTTTCCTGTGTGGGACCAGTCCAGTGGTAGTCTATTCCTCAGACCTTCAAACTGGTACACAAGCAGGAGGCTTCGTGTGATGCAGTGCAGTCTTGTCTGCCTGTCCAGCTTGGATAAATGTTGAGGGCATGGCCATGCACATAACTTACAGTTGCTTGTAATTGCAAATTATATTTGTGGTATACTTCCCTTTATATTTAGACATACACACATACATCTTAGCAACCTGGTGTTGGATAAGCTGATCCTCAGAGAAATCAAACATTTCTTACATTCTATTGATGTTATCCAACAGACCTCAGTACAACCGATAGGTCCATGTAGGTTATGCTGTGATTCTTTATTTTCAGTCCTGCAACAGCAGCTGTTGATAGAAGGATATGGAAGTATCTGGAAGCCAGATCAATTTCAACATCTTCAATTAAACGAAAGGTCTGAGAGTGGAGATGGGGTCAATTCTTTTGCATGTCTGCAGCTCTCCTTCATTTTAATCATAAGTGGCCTTGCCACATTTGCTGGAGATGGTGTATTTTGGGTGCTGACAGATCTGAGCCATGGGATGAAGTTCTCTTGTGCAAGCCTTGTGAAGTATCAACTAGCATTCTTTCCCACAGCTAATTTGGAGAAGTAGTGATAGAATGTGCTCCAAGTTAATGAGTGGTAAGGGGGTGCTATTATATTTTGCAGGCCAGCTCTTGATTCTCGTGGGGTCTGTTAAAGAGAAGGAAAGATTCACCACTATTTTTAATATTTATTTTGGGTGTGAGTATGTGAGCTTGGTGCTGCACAAATGACACCAAAGATGTCCCTGCCCCCAGAGGGCTTTTAGGCTGCACTTGTGCAGCTGCCATCCATCTCGGTGAAGTTTTACACGGGCAGGTTCCAGAAATTGTATCCTGTATTTTTAGGGTAGCCTTTGAATGCCTTGTTTTGTGTACACCTTCCTTTCATGGTGAGGGAACTTCTAAATAGTTATTTTGCCGGATTGATAGTTGTTTTGCAAAACCATTCATTTTATTTTTCAATGATAATCTTCGATTCCGGCAGGATGATGTTTACAGCCCGCTGAGCCCTTTATTAAAGGATTATGGCAGCGTTTGAATGTTTCTTCCCTAGTTATTGTCAAATCTGCCAAACTCCTCCATCTAGTTCTGAAGTTAATAACAGTTTTGCCGCATGCATGTTTCCCTGTTTCTCGCATGCACCCTTGAGGAATCATTTTTGTTTTGCCATCTGGTGGCTTCATGCTGAGTCTGAAAAATAGACAGCCAGGCTGAGATCATCCAAGCGTTTTAGTGGGTTTTGGTGCCTCTTTGAGATTTCTCTCTGTTAGTCTCTTATAAGGCCCTTTTTCTTTTAAACCATGCCCCCCCTTAAAACAACAACAAACAACGCTTGTTTTGTATTGCTATCCTAATAGCTGAATACATCCCGTATCAGCAGACCTTTTGGAAAATACCAGTTTTCAATGCTTTGTTTATAATAAGAAATAAGGCTGTCACCTGATTACTAATATCTCAGTCTATACATCTTATGAGTTTTTAATTTATCTGGGTTGATTTATTGCGGATCTTCTTTGCCTTTCATAGATGAACACATGTGTTGTAGCAGGCATCCTGTTAGAAGAGACATCCCTCCCATGAGAGAGAAAGGAGAATATATCTTTTCAGATGTGTTTGCCACCTGCCATTTTTAGAAGTAGTTTTGTAAAATGTTTTAAAATGGGGAGCATCTTTCCAATTGATAAAAATTGCTTTACACTGATTAGCCATACTGATTGGTCAGTTTCATATAGCTGCCCTAATAAATCCCGAACACTGCTGTGTGTGAAATTCTCCCTCCCTGTGGAGCATCCAGAAGTTCACCATTTCACCTTTATTTTAGAACCTTCCCTATATTATATACAAAGATTGTCAATCACAGTATGTATAGAGAAAGAGCTACTCGGCTATTATCATCATCCCCCTAAAGGATTCCCCACCACCACCAAAAAAAAAAGCAGCCAAATGAAGGGGAATGGAATATGAATACAAATGATATTTGAATATAAGCAGGGTACACCTGCTGATTTACTGAAACCCTCTCAGAAGTTGAGGGTTGTTTAAATGCTAGCCCTACTCAGACGATATTGGACTTGACTAACAGGTCCATTAATTTCATTCAGTGTAGTGTGAGTAAAACTTAATTGGGTACAACCCTCAGTCCACAGCTCCATTAAGTATATGTAAGTCTTGCTGAAATGAGCTGGATTGTGACCTTCGAGTTGGGGCCTCTTTAGACATTCTCTTTTTATTGACTTGGAATGTCATATCTCTGGCCTAAGATCTTCGTCAGTATTATTATTATTATTATTATTATTATTATTATTATTATTAGCTTTTGCCAATTTGGGAGAGAAATTAACATGAAACTGAAATGCAGCTCACCTTCGATGTTGATAAAGTTACTGGAGTAATTCTATGAACTTTAATAGGGTTGCACATTTCATTTGAAAGCTGCGGTTTCAGATACAGTTTAGCCACAGTTGTGCAAGGTATCTGTGGGAAGACCAGGGATAAAACTGAGAATCCCAGATTTTACTCTGACTTCCTCACTTTTACCTCTATACTTCAACTAGAATACACAGAAGCACTTAAAATTTGCATATATCCATACGTGTGTGTGTAAGTAATATACTGCAATAAAAAAGTCGCCAGCCTCTCCAAACTTGATTAAAGCTTACACTTAAAACATCCTAAGACCTGAATGTTCTGCTTCTTTTAAAGCTGTAAGCTGCTGCTAATAAAAGGGATTGTTATTATTCCTCACCCCACCCCTTTGTAGGTACCACTTGCTTTCCAGAAGTCCTGTGAAAGTAACCCAGTCCTTATTTTTGGAGACTTGCAATTTATACTTTATATGGTGAGCTGTGTAATTAGTTGGGAAGACTTATGCTTAGTCACTGGTTTATCCTAATCGGCTTTGGCTTTCCCCAACAACAAAGTGAGCTTATTTTGCTAAGCTGAAACAACTCTGCTCCCTTTGTTCCTGTCTTTTTATTGTCTCATTCCTTTCATTCTGTTTTACTGCCAAAAGTTTTGTTTCATTAGGCTTACGAGTCATTTCCAATCCAGTGGGCTGCTACAATCAGGCCTTTATATACCTCAGCTGCCCTGTTTCCCATGTCCTCCTGGGTTTGTGTCAAGATGCAGCCCTTCTTTGTGAAATGTTAACTATTTTTTTTAAAATTTTTTTGCTGCTAAGCTACTTTTTCACCTTACAAGTACTTGGAAGTTGCTGATCTCAAGCATTGGGATGCTATACCAGAATATTTAGGTCATACATGCCATTTTGGGCAGAGAAAGGTTAAGCCACTGCACACTAGGAATGCTAAAAGTAGCTGGAGTTTCAGGGCTGTTTAATTGTTTGTTTGTTGCTCCAGTCATGCAGAATCTTTTTGGAGAAGGGCTGTGTTCAGCTTTTGCAGCTGCAGTCTTCTGAATCGCAAGGTGTACGATACTATTTTTCACCATGTGTAAGCAAGATGGTGGGAATGTAAAAAGTGTGCTGTAGCTGCCTGAACTTTTCAGATCTGAGTGTCTGGGAAGTAGTGATGCATGTGTCAAGCCAACTTAGTACATCAATGCACTTTTCTGTTCTCTGTGTGTAATGGTAAAAGTAGTAATAAAATAAAATACAATAAAATACCTGTGCTACATTATCTCTCTTAAAAGATCAAGGATGTTTTAAGACTCAATAAAAGACTCCTTAAGCATTTGTCCTTATTCTTGGACTTCAGGCATTTCTCTTGAAAAGTAGCCAGGCAAGGCATGTTAAGTATGCTATGTGCCTGCCTTAAAAGAGAGGGGGGGAAAACCCCTCAAGTGGACAAGGCTTTCAGTGTCTCTCCCCCCCTTCCTATCCCAAAGTGAGAGATTGAAGGTGGGATGAAATTTAGCACCCAGTTAAAGTCTTGAGCAAAGGGTCAGCAGTGCCTCAGTGTTAATTCATTAGGACTACATTCCTTCAATTGCATTTTGGTGATATACCCCCATTTTGTCATCA